CAGAGTTTCATGACCATCCTTCGTGTCGACGAAACTTCCATAGGTATCCATACCACTCAGAATTAAATAAAGTACATGTTATTGTTGTTGTTATTATAACGAAGACAGAAATGAAATAAAAGAGACAATGTTAAAAAAACAATAATATTTTGTACGTTTGTTTATTTTAGACCGTTATTTTGACAAAGACGACGATGACGAATGCCGAAAGGATTTGGATTCGATGCTCCGAACTTTCGACAGAACGGTATCTATGTACAGTCTGGGAGAATTTGTGGGAAAGAGTTTCGAAACGTCCACCTTTTCGCCGGGATATTCGACACCCGAGGAGGTCGTCTGTCCATCGTCGGCGCAGGGATCGATCTGCATATTCCGAAAGGAGCGATCCTTCCGAGAACCACGAAGGAGATATACGTCTATGTGGACGAAAGGGCGCGATCGCAGATCAAAAACGAACGCGACACGTCGGTCCAATCCGTCGTCGGGTGCGGCCCTCCGGGATCGTCTTTCGAGGAAGCGTTGACCCTATCGTTTCCTCTCCGATTGGACACCGACCGACGGTGGACTGTTTCCTTGCTGAAACGAGATGATAACGGCGACGACGAAGTTTGGAGGGACGCCGCCGAGTGCGAGGTCGTCAGTTGGGTGAAGATGGACCGATGTTTCGTTATGATCGATCGGTTCTCCTGATAATCGAGAAAATAAAAAGTAAAAACACACAAAGCATATTTTCTGTTTCATGCATTCTTTATTATTCTCTTAACGATAATTTATTATATATTTTAACGATTTTTTGTTCAACATCTGTACACACGCGTACCCTCTTCGATATCCCCGATCGGCAGACGTCTTTCCGTCTTTCCGTCGTCGTCCGGCACACCGGGCAACTTCCCAGTCGGTAAGAGTATCTTTTGGAGGAAACGTAATGATAACAAGGCGTCGTCACTACCTCGGCATCTCGGAGAAAACACACCTTGCAGGCATCTGCCGAAGACGGTTCCTCTTTACGTTTTCCTAAAACTTCGTCCATGATCATGCTGCATTTCGTTTCGACTTCGAGGAATTCTCCGACGTAATTCGCGATGCGTTCGAAAGCATCGATCAGCCACTGTGCGCCGGTCCATTCGTCCGTACAGTAGTTGATAACTTTGACGC